CTCAAATATGACTAATTTCTCTCTTTGCTTGTCTGTGTCTGTTGATTTCCAGGTGCGTGTGTATGTCTGGGTGTATGTTTAGTGTACTGTCTGCTTGTGTTGTGTGTTATGCTTCCATGATGTCATCAAGGCTGTTTTAGTGACCAGTTGCAGTAGGATGCCCAGCGGCGCATGGCGTCGCTCTGTGTCCATGATGTGCTGATGATGGGCTGCGCCTGGTTGGTGTTGCTTGGCCGCCCCATCTGTAGTACAGATCCCAGTCCGACTTAGATGCTCGTCTTACATAGGCATTAAAATTCTTTTATCGGAGAAAGGAAGTTGTCAGAGTGCGTAGCCCTAGCATGAGACATGTATTGCGTTCCCCTTTCGGTGTTGCCACCAGCTCAGCTAGTCACGCTGTGTATAAACCTGGTATTTTAAGATAAAGCTATACTACTTTGTTAAATAGCGTTGCAGTTATTTGCAAAATCAGCTTTGCGTTTGGATTGTAAATTAAGTGATATTTGGTACTAAACGGGTGATTGGATTCGTAACAAAAGTTGGTGTTCAGCTGACAAACATCTCTAAGCGACCCTATTTAATTTGACAATCTAGTTTAGAGTTAATGGTAATTTAAAGTAAAAGTGCAATAATAAGTAAGTGCAAACGATCTACGTGATAGACGTGGTAAAGTGATGTCCATAGTTTAGTGCTGTGGTCATGTATTATACATGACCACAGCACTAAACTATGGACAAAGCTCAAAGTTGTACTTAACGAATTTATTAATCATTAATTTATTTATTTAGCTTAATACTGCTCCCTGCTTTGGAAAAAAAAAACGGATTTTATTTCTTAGAGTATTTTCGTACTTGGTGGCCATAATTAAGATGATAAGGCTAGACACGGGTTTCAAGCATATACCTGACGGACAGCTTAGTGTCGTGATCGTAGGTGGAGAGTGGCTTTGACTGAACTCGGTGGCTGCCGAAAGTTAGCGCTGCAGGGACATACAGTTTTGCGGGGGTGCGTTCTCGGTGGTTGGTACTATAAACCCCTTACTCAGTAGCCATGCTGGTATGATCTGTGCTATAGGTTGGGCGGCCAAGTAACATCGGTCAGGCGCAACCCATCATTGACCAGCTGGCAGAGGAGGCGCGCGCCTTTAACCGGATCTACGTGGCATCCGTCCACCCTGACCTGTCAGATGATGACATCAAGAGTGTGTTTGAGGCCTTCGGAAGGATCAAGTCTTGCACGTTAGCCAGAGACCCCACTACAGGGCGACACAGAGGCTTTGGCTTCATTGGTGAGCTGGAGGGCCCTCATTCGCTCGTGCTCTTGCGTTGCCCATGCTCTGCTACTAACTACTATTTTTATTCCCTTACAGAGTATGAAAAGCCTCAGTCAGCCCTGGACGCTGTGTCTTCTATGAACCTCTTTGACCTGGGGGGTCAGTACCTACGGGTGGGCAAAGCAGTGACTCCACCAATGCCCCTACTGACCCCCACGACCCCTGGTGGTCTGCCACCTGCTGCAGCTGTGGCTGCGGCGGCAGCCACTGCTAAGATAACGGCCCAGGCAAGTATGAATCCCTTCCAAAGGGATTTAATGGCCTTCCAGGTAAATATAACCCAGATCTAGCTAGAATTGACACCAAAAAGCACAGATGGGCATAGAACTTTTATTGATGTGACTGGGAGAAGGCCAGTTTTGTAGAGATGACATAAAAACAGTAGTTGCCCTGATACAGTGTCAATTTAACTGCCCAGAAATATGAGACATTCTTGGCTTAATTTTTAAATCCAGTTTAATGTGTTCAAAACACAAACAACCTAAAACACAATATGGAAGATTTCATTTTTTGGTATAGTGTATATTGTGTAGTTAAATAAATAAGTAATCAAAGCTCCTCCCATTCACTGATTGGGTGTAATACTAAGAGAGTCCTCTCTCTTAGTTAGCACATTGACAGCTATTTTTCAGTGTGAACAGTCGATGACTAACCAGACAGTTGTGTTCATTATAGAATGTTTCATGACTGAAAGTTTTTAACATCACTGTTGTATATTTATGACTTGCTAAGGATAGTCAGTGATTGTTTAGTAAATCTGTACTGAAATATTGTTGGTGACCTTGATTCTCACTAGAGAGGCAAGATTGAGCTCACTGTGCCATGCTGTGTGATCGTTGACTGTGCTGCCTTGTGCTGTGTTCTGTGTGTTTCCCTTACCTAATGTCTTCGGCCCCCCTCTCTTAAGGAGGCTGTAGCCGGCGCATCAGTCTTGGGGGCGTTAGCTGCGCCCCAACTTCTCGGTCAGCAAATGGGAATACCTCAGGCTGTCATGGCTGCCCAGGCACCAGGGGTCATCACAGGTGTGTAAAAAACAGGAGTTTAATTCATCTGAATTATGCTTTAAAGTGCTGTATAAAACTTACAGCTTTGCATGCAGTTTACCAGTTTACCTTATGGGTTTAACCAATTCTGAAACTACTACTTTTAAAGGTCTGTAAACTGCCTGATTTTTTTTTTTTTTTTTTTTACAAAGGATAATATTTATGTGCACAGAATTTATGTTTATGTTTTTTGTAGGTGAATTAGTAGGTAACTAGTGGCAAACATAGACTTGGAAAAATTGATGCAGATGTATTCCTCTATCATTATCATTATTATACCTTTTTCAGTTTTTAGCATGGCTGCAGAGTTCCCCACATTTTAGGTTCTCAGTTTAAGGCAGTCATAACCCTCACAATGGCTTGACCAGTGTTTACAGTCACAGACCTATTTGTCCACCAAATGTTAAAGTGTCATGGAAATCTAAACCAAAAATCAAACTTGGTTGTTCAGATAACCTCTCGTCTCTCGACAGGTGTGACTCCGGTGCGTCCTCCCATACCAGTGCTTCCCCAGGTTGGTCTTGTGAACCCTGTGCTCGCATCACCGCCAGTCCTGTCTAATCAAGCTGGTGGCTCCAACCAACAAGAGAAGAAAGAGGAGAAAGAAGAGATGCTTCAGGATGGTACAGGACAGGAGATGTTGAGTGACCAAGAGCACATGAGCATCTCAGGCAGCAGTGCCAGGCATATGGTGATGCAGAAACTGCTTAGAAAATCAGAGGTGAGATTAAGGAAATGAAGGGCCAGAAGAAACGCTATTGGCTTGAGGAAAGCTTTAATTTTCTCTTTTAATGATCAAACTCGTGTTCTGATTGTATTCTTTGCCTTCTTTTCTCCAGTCCACGGTGATGGTGCTTCGAAATATGGTTGGACCAGAGGACATTGATGATGACCTGGAGGGTGAGGTGACAGAAGAGTGTGGCAAATTTGGCTCTGTCAACAGAGTCATTATTTACCAGGAAAAGCAAGGAGAAGAGGAGGATGCAGATATCATTGTCAAAATCTTTGTAGAGTTTTCCATGGCCTCAGAGATGAACAAAGCTATCCAGGCCCTCAATGACCGCTGGTTCGGGGGTCGCAAGGTTGTCGCAGAGGTGTATGACCAAGACCGTTTCAACAGCAGTGACCTGTCTGCATAAAATGTCTGAAATGGTTCACCAGCACCCACCCCCCATACCTGTCGCCCAAACTCATTTCAGCCACAGTCATTGCAGCTAGAGATGAGGGTCTCCGAAACTTGTAATTATGTTTTTATTTTCTTTTTTTAAATTGCTGTTGATATTAATGTTAAACGCCCCATTGGGGGGATTCATTCAGAATACTTCGTGTCAGATTTTGCTTTGTGATCTGTGAAAACTCCCTTTTTGGTGCAAGTTTCAAATTTTTGTAATCCAGTCTTGTAAAACATTTAGGTTATCTTGCTTTAGTTCCTTTTTTTTCTTTCATGAAAATGCCGGGACATGTAAACACTTTTTCTTTCTATGATTAAAGGTTATTGTTTGTCCACAAAAAGTGTGATGCAAATTGTTTTTATTAAGGTTTGTGAAAGAAGTATCCTTTTGAAGATGTATTTGTAAATACGCTTGTGTGTTCTGGTTGTAGAACATAGCATTTGATTACGAAGTAAAAACATTCTAAAGCAACTACTGCTTAGTTGTATTTGTACAGGGGGAAAACAACTTTCCAAACACCTTACAGTATAATCATCTGACTTTGAACAGAGGTATTTTCCTTAATGGTCATTTTTGAGGCCTTTGTTTGTAGAGATTGTAAGCAAATACTGTATTTTGCCTGTATTTTACAAATTGTGGCGGAGGTCTGCTTATAACTACTGTAAATCTGAAAGTCAGCTCTCCTTTTTTGCATACTGCATGTGGTCATCTTTTTTGAAATGCCTGACCACAATGAGTTTGTATTTAGAAACATCTTTAATTATCTTACAATGCAATTGGGAGAGTGTTTATCTTTGCTAGATTTTATAGTCCTTCATCTCTGCAGTAGCTTTATTTGTGCCACTGTCCAACCAAACAGTTAACGGAGAATATAAGTGGATGTTTCACAAATTCAGTGCTTGTATTGAATAACACTCTGATGAGAAACATAATTGCTTAACATGTCATTAAACTGTAAAAGCAACTGTTGAAGTCATCAAAATCAAACTTTGGCCTAGATGCATGGTTTTGTTTACTTTTGTGCTCAAGGACACTACTGGAGAATGTTTTGTAAAGGCTACTTACATGCACATAATCATTTAGCCCTACTCCGTGATGTCATTTGTGGACTGACTACATGCATGGGACATAACGGGACAGGTCAGCAAAAATAAAGTAACAGTAAGCAGTGGAAAACTTTGGGCGGTTTGCTCAAGGAAATTAAACTTGTATTAGCCATTTATGACACATTTACTTAATATTTTCCAGGCGTGAGTAAATTTACTGCTTTTGAGATTTGGATAAAGATAGTACTCTGGTGACGCTAGTGTCCGCCGCTAGGTGGAGCTATAAAGTAACGTGTGGCCTCTCCTACAGGGACGCAAAGCGGCGGTGCTCCAGCTCAAATCTAGCCCAGCCCCCCACACGCCAAACCGGCCTCCCTCGGCTCAACAAGGGGAGGGAAGTGCGGCTGTTGCTGAAGCTCCTGTTACCGCCGCTGGCATTTTACCTACGTCGCACTGGAAGAGTGGTCACTGAGAAGTTTCCTTGACGTCTTTGGGGATGTTGTTACTACATACACCGGTTAACAAGGTGCTTTCCGTAGCTTTCGTGATACAAGTGTTAGCTAACAGCAGCTAGGCACAAAGGCGTTCAGTCAGCTACTAGCCGATGTTAGCTAATGGTAACTAGCCTGCTAACAACACAACCGGTGAGGACGAGCACATCCTTGCGCAGCAGTGCTCGGGTTAATCTCGGCTGACTCGCTCCGTGGGATATGTTAGCTGTTTTGTGATACATGTTTATCTGTAACCTAACTCAAGTGGTTGTATTAACAGTCGCCACTCATGACTGGGCCACTTAAAGCAACGTTTCTGCAAACCTGGGTCGTTGGCTGCATCTTTTTCAGCTAGCCACGGCAGAGCGTCGGACTTATTCAGGGATGGTGGCGGTAGCAAAACAAGCTAACGTTGCTCCGTCGGTGTGAAGAAGTGAGAGCAAGAAGTGAGGAAACGCTTTAGCCAATTGGGAGGTCTCGGTTTTGTTTATGTTAATTACAATTCCGGGGTGGATGACGCTGGGACGAACCTGACAATCCTTGAACACAGCTGAACTGAAACTGGGAATATCGCTAACAGATCGAAGGGATTATTTTTTGTCTCTAAGTGGATTTCGGCCTCCTTTTCAGGGTCGTCGTGGGAACACACTAAGTGTTTTGACATTGAGTGAGCCCACTCCCACAAAATATTCCCTGTCCCAGCGACCTTCCCCCCTGCTTCACCCTCCGATGCGGAGAATTCAGTAGCACCGGCAACCTAATTCCCCACGGCGGCCGGACATGCTGAAGTGTATCCCCCTGTGGCGCTGCAACCGCCACGTCGAGTCGGTGGACAAGCGGCATTGCAACTTGCAGACAGTACCTGATGAGATATTCCGCTACAGTCGCAGCCTGGAAGAGCTTCTCCTTGATGCCAATCAACTCAAAGAGCTACCAAAGGTATGCAGAGTTCACACACCAATAATATCTCCTCTGCGTCAATCAGTGTCTGTATTTGTGTCTCATGTTGATGGTTTTCTATGCTAAATTCACCCTGCATCACAACACACTTGTACACAGTTCGTGTTTTATTCATATATGTGAAAAGCAAAGGTCACTGCCAGGTGACATAAGCAGTAAAACAGCTTGCATATTACCTGCTCAGGTACTTCCTTAGCAGCATAGCTACCTCCTTCTTTGCTTTCTTGGAAATGGGTTTGGTCATTCTGGCCTGCAGTGCTGTAACAGCATTAGATAATGATAGCCACAAAGTAGCTGCTGTTGAAACCACACATTATAGAGTACATTTTTGTTTTAATTTGCACATGGAAAACAGAATTTCAAAGGTGTCAAACAATGTAAACTTTTGAAAAATACTACAACTACTTAATGCTTTTCATTTTTTGATGGCCCATGTTGACAAAGATTTCATAGAACATAAATTGTGGAGAAAAGTGGACCAGGGTGATGGGATGATTCAGCCATGGGCTCTGTGGGTCCTGGGTGTATTTGCTGCATGTTCAGAGAGATTAGTCCAGACCAAAACAGCTGGCACAAACCATGTTGCCTATAGTAATGGCATCAGTGGTTAGTTGGAGCGGATCAGTGTGGGAAGGCATGCGTGGAATGAGTTGCAACGCTGTCCCCACCCACACTCCCACTATTTAAAATATGACAAAAGTTCTCTTTGCATGGCCAAGGAGTTTATTTTAAGGTGAACATGATTATTGTTGGTCTGTTTTCCTTACAACTCTTCAGAGCAATGGAATAAAACATTTTCCTGCTGAACTTTCTCCTAGTTTTATAAAGTGTAAGGCATTGTTTATTATCAGGACATGGCACTGGCTGTGATTGTGATGGAGCAGGGGATTTTTATGAATACACTGCCCAGTAGTAGATGGTGTCACTCTCTCCCATTTCATGGCTTTAAGTTAGTGGTTCAGTGGAAGGGACAAGTGGCACATTCACTAATGAAGTTTGTTAACAAGTCAAGGTCAACAGAGGCTAAAGTGTTGACACAGGGCTGCCTGTTACTTTCTTGGAATCGTAAACAATAGGGCTTTTTTTGGTTTGTCTTTTGGCAATGGATGCACATTTATTGTCAAAACTAGTTTTGACTATTCACTTTCATTGTTTTGGTAAGTAAGGCTCATACTCAAAGCACAAAAAAAAACCACAATGCCAATTTGCTTTTGCTTCTGAGTTCTTCGTTTTCTTATATAGGTATATTTTATTATAAAGAGTCCTTATTTTAGATCAGCTCTCACTGTGTAAATTTGATGAAAGATGGTTTTTTGTATGACTACCCTGGGGACACAAGCTTGACTGTAGGTTTTGGCACAGATGAACGTCTCAAAAGACACGCATACAACAGTCGCTCAATATTTAACCTGTCTTCAATGTTGTTAATGGGATAGGGCCATTTCTTGGCACAAAACTGAGGCCTGCTTTGCCTGATGAGGCTTACCTGCCAACAGGCGTTTCCTCCCCCTAGTTCATACCTGTTAGACATCCACAGTGTACCTGGAGCATAGCCCCTGAAATACTGAGTGATGGATATACACATACAATTAACTGACACAGTCTCTCTGTGTGGTGCTGGATTCTACCAGGAGACATAAATGCATGGTGACAGAATGTCTCGTGTGGTTGCGGTGAATACATAGCGTGCAGACACAAAGCATATGGGCTCTCTCTGGTCCTCAGAGTCAGCAGGGCTCCAGTGAGGGAGCAGTGTGAGAGGTCAGGCCCATACAGGGTTTGAAACAAGAGCAGTGACTGTATGATGATGGTATTACTATAATGAGCCCAGAAGTGAGTAAGGGACTGAATGCCTTTTGCATTTTGTGTTCCTTCCTTGTCATTGTGTATTTAAGTCAGATTAGTTTTTGGACTTGCATGTCAGTTTTTGTCTGTTTTTAGATGTCGGTCTAACACCCCGGGTCATTTTTTGCCCGTCAGTTCACCCCATGCGTTTGTAAACGAGGCCACCTTCCACTACAAACAGTCTGAACAATGTTGGCATGCGTATTGGCTGTGCCATCATGTACAACATATGCTATAGACTGAGAATAATCGGCTCAGAGGTGACACCTTCATGAACTGTCACTTCTTTTAAAGCGGGGCTGCAAACTGTCCTGGGACACAGCCACAAGCATGCAGACCAGTCAAGCAGGGTTAATGTCAGTCAGGTGAATTTATGTGTGCAGTAAGATGTTGAAATCATTGAAATAGACAATGACATAATCAATACAGTCATTAAATTATTTTAAACGCACTAAACTCTTTTTAAATTAATAATGAACAATAAAGCATGACTTGTAGCTGTGTTTAGTGTAGTGCTGCTGGGGATGGATGGTCTCTAGATCGTATTGGTAGGGTTTTAACACAGTGAACAGATGGAGATTTAACAGTTTCTTAAGTTTGCTGTAACTCACCCCCACCGCACTGCCCACCAATCTTAGATTATGCTCTCTGTGATAATGGTATCTCCATTTGCCTTACCAAGAACATTCTGGTTTGTAAAAAAAAAAAAAAATTAAAATGTACATATGTTTTTTGTCTAATATGGGCTCAGATGGTGTCCAAGCAATGACTATTACATGGTATTAAAGCATGACATATCTGTATGAAATGAGTTGAGAGAACCTTTTAAGTCGGCAGCTTGTCAGGAATTCCCCTCATGCTCATACATCCTTAGCTCTTAATGCTGCATCGTGGCTCTTTTTTCTCATTGGCCAAAAACTAATCTGAGACAGTCCTTAATGGGTCTTTTGTTTTGCTCTTAAGACATTTCTTTGTGAGTTTGCAAGTAGTTTAACCATAAAGGAGCCATACTAATAATTAAAACACCAAAACAGAAATGGAGAAAACATTGATCAAGAATTTATACAAGTCAGCCTCCGTTTCTTATTGATGAAGCTTTAATGTTTTTCCGTCAGTTATTGAAGATGTGCTTGTAATTGTCTGGTTACAAGTAATAATCCATAATACATATTTACATATACTTGTTCTGTGTTTTTAGTTGGGAAGTTTGAACCGAAGTGATCTGAATTTCTTTTTGCTGCTTTGAAAAACTAGCCCTGCTTCAAAGATCATGTTGAGGAAGAGGGAATTATCTTTTTAGCCATTCTCAAGTCCCATGACAGGTTACAAAGAAGTCCATTCACCAGTCTGATTACCCCCCCCCCCCCCGCCATATCCAATGCCATGGCTCTTAGTGTTTCCTGTGTACATTGCACTGCCCCTGACAAAGCTTACATTAAGCATATCATTACTCAAATGATCATTTTAAAGATTTGTTTTAGGTCAGGTACACCTGCTTAAAAACACAGGGAGAGCCCTTTTTGGAGGAGCCAGGTGGACTGCAGGTGCAGTAGGCAGCAGCCCAAATAACAGCTCTAACACATGTAAAGGACTGAGTATATGTACTTGTTCTTGTTTTGGCTTTTCCGTAGTTGAAATAGGGAACAAATCCCTGCAGGGTGTGTCCCCATGAGACTTTGAGAAACAGGTTTATGTCGCTCCTAGCCTTATTACTTAATAGGATCTTTTGGTCACAGTTGATATGCTACAGTACTAATTTCCTGTCTCAACACTTGCCACAACCAGAAATATGAGAATTGTTGCAGCCAATAACTGGCCTATGAGGACACATATCATTAGTGTATCATAGTGAACACATGCCTTTCATGAGTTCACCCACCATTAGATACATCTATGGTTGAGCAGCTGAGAGAGTGGAAGTCAGGTTTTGTCTGAACGGGAAAATCATATGTTTACATACTTGGTACTCTGAATAAAAGAAGTATATGTGCATGGTAAATAGGAAGGATGACTATGCAGTCTTTTTAATCCTCAACTGTCACCAGTGCCCTCTCTGTGTGTCCTAACAGATCTGTGGCTAAAGGGCAGATTAGGGCTTCACCCGGCCGTGAAAACGCCCCTCAGCACCACAGTTCTGACCCCCCTGCATACAGGCCAGTGTGTTTTAGTGAGCGCCTCCTCTGGGATCTGCTTTTCTGCCATGTGGGTCTTTCTTCGAGCACATAAAACGCACTGATAAAAATCTGAATTCTTTTCTCTTGAGTCCCTTGTGTATGTTAAGCCTCAGGTCAAGTGAAACCCAAATTAGGCCCCTTCACTCAGCTCTGGCTGAACATGAATTGGTCTACCATTGTTTACCCAAGCTTGAATGGTCAAGTGTTTGATTTTATGTCTTTGTTTCATGAATCTCTTGTGGAAGATTGAAAAATGGTTTTGTCTGATTTGAGAGTGAATGGCCCTCCACTCATTTACTGTATAATTCCTAAGAGAGGTGTCTGAAAAATGCAGCCTGGGCTTTAAAGCCAAAAGTTTAGTACTCACTAAGCAAAGTTTGCTTTAATAATCTAGGCCACGTACACTTAACACTGTATCCTCACAGTGTATTCTGGAGTTCTGCCGTCTGTCTTCCCTCCCTCAGTTTCCAGTGAACTCTACGGGAGAGCCCTGGTTTGTTTCTCCCCAGCGAATGGCTGAACTAAGCTAGGACCAAAGATAAATTACACCTGCCACTGGCCTCTCTGCGGTAGAACCGCATTGTTACTCTGGCTCAGCTCTTTCTCACTCTCCTGTGCTCTTCTTTTCTGCTTTGGTAAAACGTGTTGAAGCCAGAAGTGCTATTGTTCACATCGCGTGAAAAGATCTAAAATAAGATTTGTTGTGTGAATGTTTTTTGTTTCAATGTATCAGGCCAGACTTGAAGATTTCCTCAGTTTGCAATTGTAATTGACCCTACCCCCACAGTGACTGAGTGGACCACATCCGTAACAAAAACAGAAGTGGGTTTTTTTTTTTTTTTTTTTTTAACTTTTGTAATCAGTCCCCCCCCCAATACATGATTGGGCAGTGCCTGAAAAGTGAGAGATCCAGAGCTGAGGCCATGAAGAAGCAACAGTGTGAGAGATGTGAATTTCTTT